CTTAAACAATAGAAGTCTCCCACCCCTGCTTCAGATAACTACTTGAAAGCCTGTGACTTCCTAATGTCCCCCAGGCCAGTAAACTAAATGCCAAAACCATTCTGGACCCAGACAATTGATGCCACCTGAGTGACAGGCTGAATGTCCACAGGCTTCATGAGAGCTAACAGATTTATTAATTAAAATCTATTTCTCCTCATTCAGAGACCTTGGGGATACAGAGGACATCCCAACAAGATTGCCGGTCACAACCAAAAAAACCAACGCGGTCTTTCAGGCAGAGCTCAAGACCCCTTCCTCTCATCTGAGATCAGCTAGGGTGAGACTTCCATGAATCCCCCAATAGGCAGGTCTACACCTCTGCCCAGCAGGAAGCAGATACAGAAGAAGAGACCTCCTGTCCCTCAACTTCCCATAGAGATTTTATGGGGATCACGTCTCTCAAGGGGAAAACTAGGCAGGCAGTTAGAGGCAAGCATTGGGCCTCTGCATTCCTGCACATCCCACAGGATGTGACTGCCCGGTGACCTCCCCTCTGCACCCAAAACTTCTTTTCATTGTAACTATCTGCCCCTGAAACAAATGGGTGTAAAATACCCAACTAGGTCAGACCAGTCACTCGCACCTGCGCAGTACCTCTTGTCAATTACGGGTGCCAATCAAGTGGTCCCACACCCAGAGGGGAACAGCCCATTCTAGAGAAAAGGGGATAAAAACTCCAAGTCCTGGGAAGTCCACCCTTTTGGACGCCTTCCCCCTTCTTGACTGCTTCCCTCCCTTTGTCCAGCCTTTTGAGTCTCGCCTTTGCACGTGGCTCGCTCCAAACTCTTTGAAATGTACTATCTCTTCGAATAAACTACTTTTTCAGTACTTTGCTCCGGCATCTCGTTCAATTCTTTGCTTGAGTTGCCAAGGACCTGGACTTTGCGCCGAGAAGGGTCCACTCTCTGACAGCAATACCAACATGGGCCAGTGAAGCCACATCCTCCACAACTAGATTGAAGAACAAAGGACAGCAACTTGTCTGTTCCCCTTCCCCGATTCCCCAGCGCTGTTCCCTCCCCCAATTCCCCAATAAAATCTTTAAAAGAACGAAAAAACAAACAAAAAAGCCCCCTGAATTGTTCACTTGTGAATTTTATGGTATCTGAATTATAGCTCAATTAACAAAAAGAACCTGTGTGAGATATATACATATATAATTCAAACATTAGAGAAATACATAGAAATGAAACTTTCCCTATACTCCTTCTCCCAACTCTGCCTCCCATTTTAAAGCAAACTAGGACCTAGTTATGTCTACTGTTTTGTTACTTTTTTCACTTCATATGACCTGTTCATTTTTTCATCATTGGAAGTAAGAAAAAATTTCCAAACTGGCTTGTTAAGTAATATAACAAACCCAGAAGTCATCAAGAAAAAGATTGATAACTTGATTACATAAAACATATATTTTTCTATACAGAAAAAGATACTATAAATTAAAAAACAAAACAAAACCAAAAAACCAGACCAGGAGAACACAGAGGAAACATTTAGAAAGGGTTAAAATACCTATATTGAGGAGTAAGGATCCTATGATTTGATTTAAAGACAAACAACACAAAAGAAAAACGGGCAAAGATGTCAACCTCATTAATTATTATTTTTTACCCATCAGTTGGCAAAAATCAAAAGGCCTGTTAACAACTAGTACTTGGCAAGAACAGGGGGAAGTGGGCACTCCTAATTTGCTGAAGGACATGTGAACTGCTACAGCCTTTTGGGCAAGTAGTTAGGTAGTATTTAATAAGTGAGCATCACCTTAACCCACTTATGGAACTCTAACCCACAAAAATAAAAGCACCACTACTAAACATGTTCACAAAAATGTTTATTGCAGTCATGTTTATAAGAGGGAAAAACTGGAAACAACTGGAATGGCTGTTGATAGATGACAGCTGAGTAAACTGTGATTTATGGGACCCATGGATATTAAAGAAGCATGAGTTAGCTGTATGTGACTGACCTAGATAGCTATGTGAAAAAGAAGCAAGTTGCTGGGTAATTATATCGTAAATGCCATTAAAACAAAACCCAAAGCCCTAGAAATGTGAATAGTGTTTACATATTGTTGTAGGCACAGACAAAGCCTGTTAAATTTGGTATGTTATGGGCTGAGTATGCTGTTTGATTATTTTAAAAAACAGTAAAAAAAGCTGGTTGTTGATAAAGGACAATTGTTCTAATTTAAGTTTTCTTTAAAGCTAGGGAATAGTTAAAAAGGATGAGAGAGGTCAATGTTGATGAGATGGGAGAGTTAACAGAGCAGAACTAGAACAGCTACAGAATACACGGTATGCTAACACTTCTTTTCATCTAACATCTTGGCTCCTCACAGAGGTGGAAGGACAGAGGCTGGGAGGGAGCCGGACCTGTCAATCTGGAGTGCTGGACAGGTGGCTACCCGGAGGTGAGAATTCCTTGTTTGATTTTGACTCTGGTGTCTCCTTGGGGTTCACTTGGAAGAGAAGTCACCTGGACCTTATACAAGAGCCGACTGAGGCAGAATCAGCCCAGTAGGAGTTGACTTTTTCAGGATCGGTTCAAGAGAACGAGTTATGAGTCACCTTGTGACGGGTTTGCCATCAGCGTTATCACCGGGGGCCACACCTCCACCAGGGTCAAAGTAACTCCCGACAGCAAGTTATTAACTCAAAGAGGAGCAGTCATGCTGAGTCCCTGAGATAGGTCTTAGAAAACCTAATCTCCTCTACTCCAGGAAAACTAAAATGTCAAACTGGGAGAAACCTTAGCTTTACTGTGACAATCCTGTCCAAATGTACTATAGAACAGGGGGGCTATGTGTGATTTCTGAAACGGCATAAAGCTTTGGTAAATGTCACTTCTTTCACTGCTTAGAAAAGCAATAAAAGCAGATTAAAAAAAAAAGTACAAATAAAAGTATTTTTTTTAAAGGAGTGGTATTTTTCAGGGGGGGGGGAGTGGAGGACTAGTCCTGTTCATGACTATTTTATAGGTTGAATGAGTCCTCCTTTTGACTGATTCATGTAGAACTGAAAAGTTCTAAGGTAGACAAATGGGACGGCCCGAACACAGGAAAAACCATGCACTCTTGTTGGTGGCACTTAGTTCCAAGAAGCGACTTTAAACTCTCTCGGGGTATTAGAGAGACAAAAGGAAGTTTTTCTGAAACTGTCAGTTCCGTGAACATGCGCAAATGTCATAAAAACACAACCCCTTTAGTGTCACAGTGGGCTTCTCTTAGGGGAGAGACAAAATACCAAAGATATGGCCTTTGTCCTTTTTTCATGACACCGATCCTTGGCAAGATAAATCATTATGCCAGTGAACCTCATTCAGTGACGAGGCTTTTGCATCAGGTTTGCTTTGGAACAGTTTCAGGGGAAAAAAAAGAAAACCTTGCAAAAGTATTGATTGGAGGGAAAGAATAAGTGAGGAAAGAGCAACAACCTTTCGCTGTTTTCACAATTTTCACAAAACCTCAATCTTCTCACATTAGAGAGACACAAATGTGCCTCTGGCTTGGGGGCCCTGGGCACTAGCTCCCATCCCAGACCTGAGAGGATAGGGTGTATTTGTGTAGGAACAGTTCCCATTCAAATTTCTTTATAATTTATTTTAACTAAATTAAATCCTGTTTTTCTCCGTTTATGCCAGGAAGTAATAGAAAAGGAAGGGCCAGGCTAGCTGGCCAAACAAGGAACTGACCACAGGGCATTTCTGCAGTTGGCACGAAGCGCTTTAGAATCTGTTTTCAAAACATGCCCTAACTAAAACTTCATGTGCTTCTCACCAATCTCGCAGAGGCTGAATAAAACGCACGTGGCTCTGTGAAAAGCCACCTCATCCCGTGTGGCACTTGTGCTGTCTGGATGGGTTAACATTCTGCTTTACTACAGAGGCTGATATCCTGGGAGCACAGATGTGTATGAGGGCCCTCACTGGCCTAATGAGGACTGTGTTTCATTTCCTCCTGTGTTTTTCGGATAAGCGGCGTGGAGGAGGGCCTTCTCACTGGGTTCACTCACTCCAGCTCCTGAGGCAGGTCTGAGACACAGGTGGCAGTCTCAGGTTGGTTCCGTATCAATCAGTAAGACAGTGCCAGATTGTCACAGACTCCTTGTGTCCTTCCAGGGGCCTCTCAGGTTGGGGGGGGGGAACATATGGGGCATCTATTCTTTCCTGTTCTTAGCCACATGGATCTTGTTGATGATGTGGCTGGTGTTGCTCCTGTTCCCTCTCCCAGCACTGCTGAGACATGGATAGAGCCTTTGGGAATTTTTATCTATGAACACTTTGCTTTCAGGGTGCACAGAAACTGCTACTTAACCCCATTATTCCCCCAAATAACTTCTCGCCATGGGTGGGGAGCTCAGGAATGATATATTATACAGTTATGTGTGACTGATTAGGGGGCTTCTGCGGTGACCCCGGGACCAGGACAGATGGTGAGCTGTCCATCACCTGCACTGCGACCCCAGGGTCTTCTGCTGACAAGGAAAATTTAAAGGGTGCTGGGAAAGCACCCGTTTCGTGTGGCTCTATCTAGTTTCAATCCATTTGGAAAGTGACATTGTATCTCCCTTCACAATGAAGGGTGAGGAGCAAGGATGGAGGTGGTGCGTACAGCACCCTTCCGAAGCAGATGGAGAAGGAAAAGGGTGGCAAGGGAGGTCTGGAGTTCCTGAGCATACGTTCATGCATTAGCCTTCCTTTTTCACTACGTAGCTTGCTTCTGCTTGTTGAATATTGAAATCTAGATCAAATTTCAAGAGCCTTCTAGAACAAAAGCAGTTAATTTGGAACCACCATGAAGCATCCTGCTTCCATGGAGCGGGGAGCCAGTACCTTTACTGGAACCTTTAATCGTGGCAAATAAGAACAATCTGGGAGTGGCGGGGAGTGGGGGGAAGGGAGAGTCCAGATAAAGGACCGAGAGAGTGGATCACATGCTTGAATTTATGTGGGTTCCCTACCTCCTGGCCCCTGTCCTGCACAGGACACGACTCACTGTCTGCTTCCGAGAATGATCCGGATTCATCGCTGGAGTTGGTTCCGTAAGACTGCTCACATTTAATTTGGGGTCGGACTTGGTTGTACATTCCGTCTCCCATCAGGCCTGGTTCCTGATGTTCTGTGGCAAGGAATCTGGCTCCCTGGGAACAGGGTGAGGAGGAGAATTCACAGAGAGGGAGGCTGCAGGGGGAGCCCCCGCTCCCGTCCTCTGCGTAGGAGTAGGAGGAGCATGAGCTGGAAGTCCTGGTCCTGGTCTCCAAGGGGGGTGAGCGAGGGCAGACCTTGATTGGCACCGGGCAGCTAGTGTTGGGCCGCATCCTTCCTGGCAAGTGGTCAGCCATCAGCCCACCATGGGAGTAGGCCTGTGAGCTGGGTAGGGATTGGCCTGCCCCCACCCACAGACCCTTTGGCACCGGCTCAGAGAGGTCTTTGTCCAAACTGCTTACCCCAGAATATGAATGCACAGAGGTGCTCACTTGGTCACAAGCGCTCGAGGAGAAGATCACACTTCTCCGGTCCAGCTCTCCTTCCTGCTTACAGAGAGCCTCCACCCCAGGCCCCTTGAGGGGCGACCCCATCGTGAAGTTGGGCGTGTCCTTCTGGCCCATATGGGCCTGTCCATAATTCCCCGTGAAAGGGGCGTAGTCAGTTTTAAGGTCACCCTGAGTGATGCCCTTGTCAAAAGGGCACGCGGAACTCCTGGCAAAGTGCTGCTGAGATGTGCTGGGCAAGCCAGACAGCTCCACACTTTTTGTTATGCTGAATAGAGACCTTAAGCAGGAGGGAGAGGACACGCTCCTGGATCTCTCCAGGCAGGTGGCCCCGGTGGGGAGGGTGGGGGCAGGGGCGGGGCTGGGCTGCTTCCGCTGCTCCATTTCGACATCCCCGGCTCTGTCCTTGATGTCAGGCTCATCTCCGGACAGGCAGAGCGTGATGCTCTCTTCCTCGTTCTCTTCACTGGGCGGCTCACTTTTTATCTGCCCCATGGCAAGCCCTGGCTTGAGGCTATTGCCAGAGTTATCTTCACTGAATGTGCTTGCAAAACCTGAGGTACTATGTGATGATGCGTTATAGACATTCTTGGTACATGCAAGCTGGTATTTTTTGTATCGGGGGTACTGCATCAACGCGTCCTTTTCAGAGCTCTCCTTGGTGTCCGTCGGCCCATCGGACTCGGGCAGCAAAGCTTCTTCCTTCTCTGCCACTGGGATGGTGGTGGCCTCAAAGCTTTTGGGGTCTGGAAGCATCTGGTCCCTGGGGCAAGCCATCTTGGCCGTCTCTGAATCCATCGTCTCCTCCTCTTCCTCCTCCTCCTCTCCCGCGGAGTTCTCATGGTCCTCGTGTGCGCGCGGGCAGGCCGTGTCCTTCCGGCACACAAACAGGCCATCCTCCCTGTTCAGGAGCTGGGTCTGCAGGAAGCTGAAGCACGAGTCCTCCAGGTTGTGCATGCGCAGGAACTCGGCGCAGCGGATGACCTCACGAATGTTTTCTCTGCTGAGTAACAGCTTGGCGGTGTACGCAAACTGTAACAGCGGCCCAAAGCCCCTGGCCGTGACCTGCAAGACAAACAGGGAAATTGCCCACGTTACCGTCAGCACTGCTATTGTCCCGAATCCCTCAACTGAAGCAAGATAACCAGACAGGGCTAATGTCCCAGAATAAAGACTGCAAAGGAACAGTTAATCTCATACTGGGGCAGCCAATGATCCTGCCTCCAATAATTAGTGCCTGTCTTGTGCATGCCACTGCTCTATTTCATCGCCTCACACAGAAATGGAAATCACCAGGGTCAAGTGGCTCAACACGATGACAACGGGTTCAGTGTTTAAACTAATGAAATATCCTGGCAAAAATGCACGGGAACAATGGGAAGCTATTAATTTCCCTCCCAATCAGCGCCATTGAGAGTCACTCTGCATAAGGCGTGCTCTGACACTTCTTGCAGTTGCCCTGGGCCAAAGAAAGTGTTATGGTTTTCATGTCAACCGCACGATTGGCAATATGGCCCTGTGAAATACTGAAAGTCCATAGGGTTTCAAATAGTTTTTCCTCAAAGTTCAACAGAGACATGAAAAGCAATGCCTGTTTTGCTCATTCATCATGGTTTCTACTTGGGACTTTTCACTCATTATGTCATACCTGATCTTACAAGGATACCAGAGATGATAACAAACCAAAGCAGTGTTCTCAACAAGAAATTAACTCCTGGCCCATACAGAATGGGGGTTACAGAGCTAAACAAACTGGCTGTCATCTGAATGATTGAAGCTGCTGAGTGGCACAGGACATGGGCTAGTCCTCCCCTAATTACAAGCAGCAGCTTTGCCATGCAGCTGTCTTCTTTCCTGGTAAATCTTCAGAGGCTAAACCTACTGTCATGTGCTACTCATCCATTATATTTCACACAGATTGATAATGTGCTATTTATGCACAGCTTGTGTGTACGCGTGCGCACATGCATGCACACAACAGAGAATAACTTAGATAATTAGAAATACTTTGCCTAAGGCAATCTTTTTTTTTTTCCCCCCCAATGTAAGTGGATTAAACTTGCTGGCGTTCAGGGCAAGCAGCCTTACCCTCTAGGTGCAAAATCATGCATCCTCTAGGTTCTTGCAAGCAAGCACTGCTGACCCCACAGAAAGGGGAGGCAGGTCTATGAGTCATGTGTACAAATCAGGTGAAAGCAGCAATCACGGGGCCTTGCTGGAAGCTATACTACAAGGGATTTAAAAATATCTGCTTGGGGAATAAGTGCAGAGCAAGATGAACTGGCAACCTTTGGTAGCCGACTTCCCCATGTATTAAATTCACCGCAGCACACAGAGCCAAAACTCTGTGAGGACTTACATTAGCTACTTATGATTCAACTCAGACATCGACTTCTCTGAGAGCCCTCTCTAAACCTACTAGGGAGAACGAATGACACCATCCTGTCAGCCCCCCATAGCCAGATTGAGGAAATGTCTCGGACTCTCCAGCGCAGCCCTGATTGTTTATTGCTGCATTCTTTCCAGGAAGGAAAATTTCTTAGATACATAACCGAATGGGGTTTTTAATTGTCAAGAATTTTGAAGTACTTTAAATAAAACTCCAAATAAAAAAATTATCTGTCAGTTAATGAGTCCCAAGATATTTGGTTATAAAAAAAAAACAAAAAACAACAAAAACCATGACTGCTAGACCCACGTTACAGTTCTACCAGGGCAATCATTATTATCTCACGTTTGTTATATTTAACTGCGTCTGTTTTTACCATAAGACAGCAAGGTCCTTCAGATTAGGGATGGTTTCATTTCTCTTTCTAAGTCTGCATCTAACTAGGGTCTCGAACATGGTAACCACCTGAGGAAAGCTTGTATATTACTGAATATGTCATAAGTCTAACTGTGCCTCTAACACACAGCTAGAGTGTACAGAATGTGACAACACAGCATTCGGTGAGTGTCATCTCAAATTACTTTCGGAGCAAGACATTGTGTAAGCTAACATACCAAACCATTCAACCAACCCAAGGCAGGCAAGAGTCCTTAATGTCTTGTCCCCTAGTATTAGAATTGAAAAGGAGCTCATCTATCATCCACTTTTGTGTCCGACGCTAAGCTGACATCATAACAGAGTCAGCAAATCTAGTACTTACTGTATCTATCTTATGGACATTTCTCCCAAAAGCCTTTAAAAGGAACTGCAAGGCAAGGAAGTACGTTTTTATAACGAACCAAAGAAGGCAATGAGAATGTCACATGACCCATTTCTTCTTTGTAACATGGCTCCTCCACATACAGAGGAATGGCAGAATCTAGGCAAAGGTGACCCCTCCATAAGTAGTCATCTTCTGCTTCGTCCCTAGGCAATCTGCCAGTTGCTGAGTGGATAATACAGTTTTTGAATTTTGGCAGATGTCCTCACTCACTCTATAGGAAATTGGGGAAACTCATCTCAATGCAGTCTGTTTTCTATATGATGAGTCTGTTTCCTCATCCTCTCATCCTTATCACCATTTCTTCTTTATTTTGATGCTCTTTGTCTCAGTAGGCCCCACCACTGGCCCTCACTATGGTTGCTTTTTAAAAGAAAATTCTTAAATAAGCCAGAAAGACCCATGGGGATCACTGGATCAGTCCTGGGTGCCACCAGTTGCCACAAGGCTGCAAGGAGCTGGAGAAAGCTTTTCCACTCAAGGAAGGGCTGATGTTTGATGTATGAGTTGGACTGAGGATGCCAATGAGCACAGTCTCCATATCCCAAATCAAATCACTTTTCCTTTTGGGCTTAGGAGACATGATGAGCTTGAAATGATCGTCAGATGGTCACGAAGGAGTCATGAATAAAAATGGGGTTGTAAACTGTCATTCAAGCCCAAGGTCCAAGGAAATGGTGTTCTCACCATGAGATTTCAAGAGTCCATAACTAGCTCATCCCCCAGGAGTTTAATTCTGCTTTGTCATATTCAGTTCTGCTAAATTTTGCTCAGCTGCTATGTGCCCCAGTGCTCTGTCTAGTGAGTCAGAATTATCACTTGCCAAGCACCTCCTGGGGCCCAGCACTGTGCTGGCTGGTTCTCACAATGCCCTGCAAGGCAGGCATGAGTGACTCTATTTTGTAGACAGGGAAACTGAGTAGCAAGGAGGTGAAGGTATTCAGCCACAGGCATAGAGCTGGGATTCCCAATCCCAGTGCTATGAGGAATGGATATGGATAAGACTCAGGCCTGTGCCCAAGAAACCTACAATTCAGCTTTGTGGAAGGGGTACTAACAATGAAAAGTTAATTCAGTCATAATGGAAGTCCACAATGGAAGGGTTCTCACAGGATTACACCATTAGCTGTCAACTGAGCAATCCACAGCAGTTCAGGAGAAGAGGAAAGTGCTGAGGTCTGTGGGGATCCCTTGAACACTCATAAGCAGGACACCTGGAGCGCAGTGAATTCCCCCTCTCTATGTCTGCTCTGGGTCAAGGGCTGCTTCGATACAATGGGTAACTTCTGAACTGCCACAGGTGTCCCACCCAGGGACCCAACTCAGGTGCACTTCAGGCCAGCTGTAATACCTCCAAATATACAAAACAGAAAGCAAGAGCTCATAACACCTGCAGGCCAGCGTGAAAACAGGCAGAGCCTTTCTAATTATTGGTATAGGCTTCATCTTGACCTGGCTGCACTGTCTTTCCATTTTTAGGAATCATTAAACTCATTCATTGTACTCGCACAGCAAACATCCAGGTACCAATGTGAAGCTGTATGTTTACGAATCTGTGACCGCAAGTTTGCATTGTTATTTACTTTCTGTTTTTAACAAGGCTCTGATAATAGGAAAAAATAAGAGGGGGTGGGAGTGGAGAATTTCACACAAAAGTAATGACCCATAAAAATGTTATTGAAAAAGGTAATGATCATGAAGTTAACGTGGAATGAAGGGACTAGAAATAGCACACCAGTTTTATTTCACTGATGCTAATGGAACTGGGTTCCACTGCTCTAAGGAAGGCAGACATATCTAGGTTAACATGTGCTGGTCAGGAATGGCCTAAAGGAATGATAAACAAATGCAAAATACAATATTATTATAATGACAACCTGGGATAACAGCTGTGCATTTTGAATGAACTATTTTGGGTGGATCTTTTGGAAGAGTATTTTTTCATCACGCTTAACACGTAACTACCTGGTTCCACAATGTGTGATTCACACTGTGCTCTAGATGAGACTGGATCACACCCAGGGGGCAGGATGGCGTGTGCTACGAGGAGCTAAGACCTGAGAGAGGGCAGAAGTATCACCCCCCTTGCTCTCAGGTTGCTCCAAAGGGGGCAATGACCTCATCCGGGAGTCAGCACAACAAGGCAAGTGGCATTGACCTCTAGACTTCAGGCCTGAAAGAAATCAGGTCAGACTTCCAAACTCATGCACTATGGTGTGTGTCCACATGCTGATAATGTGTGGAACGTCTGACCCACTGAAACTGTGACCCTTAACCCTATATTCCCTTGGGTTCTGATATATCATCTCTATGCTGCTGATGAAAGGAAGATGAACTGGTGAAACCTCGACTGGCAGAGGACATGTATGGGTGCTGCTGGCAGAGCTGGGACATTCACTCACAGGAGGTGCCTCGTTTACTGCTGGACAGAGCTTATGACCGGGGACTTCTAACAGTTTCGTTTTTCTGGACCAGGGGTCAGCAAACTTTTGAGACGCGAGAGCCAATCCTGTCCCTCACAACAATTTAAAAATTATTCGAGAGCCATAAAACAAATGAAATCACCATTATGTGAATAGTATCCTTTAAAAATTTTATAAATGAGGGCTGGCCGAGTGGCGCATTGGTTAAGAGCTGGCTTGGGACGCCAGCTCTGAGCAGCAGGGCCCCGGTTCGGATCCCACATGGCGACAGCATAGGCTGCAGCCCCTGCTGCAGTGGGCTGCCATAAGCTACCGTGAGTAGCTGGCAGCCAGCGTGAGCAGCTGGCAGCCGGTGTGAGCGGCCACGAGCCGCCGTGAGCGGCCATCCAGAGGCCGGCGACTGGTCTGCCTCACCCAGGAAGAGCGCAATGAT